TGATCACATCCTGCATTGTGTATCATGTGGAGATTCCTCTCATCATCACTATAGAGGCTTGCTCTAGCATCGCCTTCAGACATTGCAGAACTTTACAAGACATTACCCTTCCGTTTGTCAAAAGTAGATACAGAGATTTTTTCACCATATTTGTCCTTTATCTTTTTCATCAAAGCTTGAGCTGTATAACAGGCAATATCTACTGTTGTTCCGCCTGCGCTCAGAAATTCATTCCTGTATAATTCCATGATGGATGATGAAAGCATTGCCTTACCATTCCCATTTAGCTCTTTCTCAATCATGTCTGATATTGATTCAAAAGTAGTTGCATGTGGACATCCACTTGATGTGCCTCCAGTCTCTTGAACAGCTGCTGCTTCTCTTAAGAATTCATGCTTGGAAGACCTGTGGTATTGAGCCTCTTTGGCGATAAGATATCTCTATCAGCAACTAGAGCCTTTACTCTGTCAATACTGCTTTAGGGGCAGCAGCAACTATTGCATCACATCCATCTCTGGTGAGGCAATCTGACAATAGTTCCACCTTCTGTTTGATGGTCTTTCGCTTAACAGTACAAAAGATACAAGAGCCCTTCAGTAAACCCACGGCGAAGAGGTGAAGATGTCTCTCACTTTTGCACCAGGGAAAGAGACGCACTTCACGTTCTTGCTGAGGGAGAGATGTCTTCCATCGACCACAACTACATCATGTTTGTTGCGGATCACACGATGTCGATGGATGTAGCCCTCTATCTGCTCCTGGTGTGGCGGTGAAGTAGAAGTAGTAGGTGTTAACGGCAAAGCTTCTGTCATTGTTTCTTGAACAGCAAGAACTTTGATGCGGTTAGATGTCGGCACCGTTATTATCTCCTGTATGTCTTGATTTCCGTCGTTTCCGGGCAGATCCTCAATTAAGGATAGTGTCGTCAGTCTCCTCTACGATGCCCTCTTTCACAAAGGTAGTGTTAGTTGTGGCGTCGCAATCTTCTGCCTTCGTTTCTTGACGTTTGAGTCTTCCGTCAATGCTTTTCACAAACGCCAATATTTCCAGGAGAACGTGATTGCTCGGTTGCTCTGCAATGCCTTCTTCAAGCCTTTCTTTATCAGTATTTCGTGCTGCGATCTCAGGATCCAAGGCTCTTTTGAAACGAGCAGTTAGTGTTGCCTTTACACCGCTTTTGTCAATACCTCTCTTTTGGAGCTTGCTACAAAGTTCTTTGACACAAATAAGTTGGCTATCGTCTAAGAACACCATTGTGACATAATAATATCAAAACTAGTAAAAAAAGATGCTCTCTTCTAGGGCGCAAGATATGAATCTGCGTTGTGGAAATGGTCACGCACCCTTGCTGATGTAGGAGTTGGTGTTTCCCATTTTGGGATAGCCTTGATCACACCACGAAGTTAAAGTCCTGCAGTGTGTTTCATGTGGAGATTCTTCTCATCAGCACTATAGAGGCTTGCTCTAGCATCGCCTTCAGACATTGCACAACTTTACAAGACATTACCCTTCCGTTTGTTAAAAGTAGCTACAGAGATTTTTTCACCATATTTGTCCTTTATCTTTTTCATCAAAGCTTGAGCTGTATAACAGGCAATACCTACTGTTGTTCCGCCTGCTCTGGCGATAAGATATCTCTATCGGCAACTAGAGCCTTTACTCTGTCAATACTTCTTCAGGGGCAGCAGCAACTATTGCATCACATCCATCTTTGGTGAGGCAATCTGACAATAGTTCCACCTTCTGTTTGATGGTCTTTCGCTTAACAGTACAAAAGATACAAGAGCCCTTCAGTAAACCCAAGGCGAAGAGGTGCAGATGTCTCTCACTTTTGCACCAGGGAAAGAGACGCACTTCACGTTCTTGCTGCGGGAGATGTCTTCCGTCGATGTGTTTGATCATCGAATCTCCGACCACAACTACATCATGTTTGTTGCGGATCACACGATGTCGGTGGATGTAGCCCTCTATCTGCTCCTGGTATGGCGGTGAAGTAGAAGTAGTAGGTGTTAACGGCAAAGCTTCTGTCATTGTTTCTTGAACAGCAAGAACTTTGATGCGGTTAGATGTCGGCACCGTTATTATCTCCTGTATGTCTTGATTTCCGTCGTTTCCGGGCAGATCTTCAATTAAGGATAGTGTCGTCAGTCTCCTCTACGATGCCCTCTTTCACAAAGGTAGTGTTAGTTGTGGCGTCGCGATCTTCTGCCTTCGTTTTTTGACGTTTGAGTCTTCCGTCAATGCTTTTCACGAACGCCAATATTTCCAGGAGAACGTGATTGCCCGGTTGCTCTGCAATGCCTTCTTCAAGCCTTTCTTTATCAGTATTTCGTGCTGCGATCTCAGGATCCAAGGCTCTTTTGAAACGAGCGGTTAGTGTTGTCTTTACACCGCTTTTGTCAATACCTCTCTTTTGGAGCTTGCAACAAAGTTCTTTGACACAAAGTTGTTGGATATCGTCTAAGAACACCATTGTGACATAATAATATCAAAACCAGTAAAAAAAGATGCTCTCTTCTAGGGCGCAAGATATGAATCTGCGTTGTGGAAATGGTCACGCACCCTTGCTGATGTAGGAGTTGGTGTTTCCCATTTTGGGATAGCCTTGATCACACCACGAAGTTAAAGTCCTGCAGTGTGTTTCATGTGGAGATTCTTCTCATCATCACTATAGAGGCTTGCTCTAGCATCGCCTTAAGACATTGCAGAACTTTACTAGACATTACCCTTTCGTTTGTTAAAAGTAGCTACAGAGATTTTTTCACCATATTTGTCCTTTATCTTTTTCATCAAAGCTTGAGCTGTATAACAGGCAATATCTACTGTTGTTCCGCCTGCGCTCAGAAATTCATTCCTGTATATTTCCATGATGGATGATGAAAGCATTGCTTTGCCATTCCCAATTAGCTCTTTCTCAATCGTGTCTGATATTGATTCCAAGTTGTTGCATGTAGACATCTATTTGATGTGCCTCCAGTCTTTTGAACAGCAGCTCATGAGCTGCTTCTTTAAAGAATTCATGACTGGAAGACCTGTGGCATTTTTTCTTAAAAGTTATTTTATTGTTCATTCAATTCACAAGAAATAATAACATAATGATAACATATATATATAATTCGTCATAATATTACAAGATATTGGAGTTACAATACTTTTACGTAAATGAATTATATAATAACAAATCACAACTTTCCATTTTTACATCTCAAACTATTACAAATGCATAACAAAGCATACATACATTTATTATCACAGAAACATAACAAACAGTAAATTATTCCAATCTGGACAAAAAAAGCATATTATGGACTGCCAATTTCACATATTTTCTTTATTTTTCCAATATAATTGATGCCTTATGTTTATCAAAAAGCTAAAGATAACTTGCAAAAAATGTGTAATTGTTAATATCAGGTGGAAAGAAAGGTTTACAAAAATAATGAATCAAGCTTCTTTTCATTAACACATGTCAACACTCTCTGCAAACTCTAACTTAGTCACTGTTTTCAGAGCATTAAATTGAACTGCATTACACAACTGATTCCAATTAAATAAAACCAATGAATATTCATTGGTATCCTTTATTTGTCCATCAATATATGTTACATGTACATGTATACTGTATCAAAATTCAAATACATATATATTGATTAATTCAATGAATTAATGTAAGTTTATACATGACACTTGTTATCTGAATCGTATAAGTTTATACATGACACTTGTTCTCTAAAGCGTATAAGTTTATACATGACACTTGTTCTCTGAATCGTATAAATTTATACATGACACTTGTTCTCTAAAGCGTATAAGTTTATACATGACACTTGTTCTCTAAAGCGTATAAATTTATACATGACACTTGTTCTCTAAAGCGTATAAATTTATACATGACACTTGTTCTCTGAATCGTATAAATTTATACATGACACTTGTTCTCTAAAGCGTATAAATTTATTCATGACACTTGTTCTCTGAATCGTATAAATTTATACTTGACACTTGTTCTCTAAAGCGTATAAGTTTATACATGGCACTTCTTCTCGAAAGTGTATAAGTTTATACCAGACACTTGTTCTCTGAATCGTATAAGTTTATACATGACACTTGTTCTCTGAATCGTATAAATTTATACATGACACTTGTTCTCTAAAGCGTATAAATTTATACATGACACTTGTTCTCTGAATCGTATAAATTTATACATGACACTTGTTCTCTAAAGCGTATAAGTTTATACATAACACTTGTTCTCTGAATCGTATAAATTTATACATGACACTTGTTCTCTGAATCGTATAAATTTATACATGACACTTGTTCTCTAAAGCGTATAAGTTTATACATAACACTTGTTCTCTGAATCGTATAAATTTATACATGTCACTTGTTCTCTAAAGCGTATAAATTTATACATGACACTTGTTCTCTGAATCGTATAGATTTATACGAGACACTTGTTCTCTAAAGCGTATAAGTTTATTCATGACACTTATTCTCTGAATCGTATAAATTTATACATGACACTTGTTATCTGAATCGTATAAGTTTATACATGACACTTGTTCTCTAAAGCGTATAAGTTTATACAAGGCACTTCTTCTCTAAAGCGTATAAGTTTATACATGACACTTGTTCTCTAAAGCGTATAAGTTTATACATGGCACTTCTTCTCTAAATTGTATAAGTTTATACATGACACTTGTTCTCTGAATCGTATAAGTTTTTACCAGACAGGAGATGTACCACTGGTATGAATTTGGCGATCCTACTTCAAAGCTGTGGAAAGTTATTGTGTGTATACAGCTTTGTATGTTAAGTTCAATGACCTTTTAACCTTTGAACTTTGTTGAACACGAGTGACCCATATTCGAACTTGACCCGAGTCTACAAGAGATGTACCACTGGTGTGAATTTGGCAATCCTTGATCAAAACTATGGAAAGTTATTGTGTGTACTATGCTTTTAATAAAAAGTTCATAGACTTTTTGACAGTGCCGTAAAAACTGGAAAACAACAACAACAACTTTTGACCTTTCACCTTTGTCGGATATCGCCCATATTCAAACTTGATCTGAGTCTTCAAGAGATGTACCACTGGTATGAATTTCACGATTCTACTTCAAAGCTGTGGAGAGTTATTGTGTGTACAGCATAAGTACAGCTTTGTATATTAAGTTCATTGACCTTTTGACCTTTGAACTTTGTCGACCATGACCCATATTCGAACTTGACCTGAGTCTTCAAGAAATGTACCACTGGTAAGAATTTGGTGATCCTAGCTCGAAGATATAGAAAGTTATTGGGTGTACAACATAATTGTTGACGCCGACACCGCCGGTGTAAAAAGTGACGCCTATGCCTGGCTCCTGCTACGCAGGCGAGACAAAAAGGACATGAAACCATTTTAACGGATATCAACCGATGCCAAAAAACGACATCCGTTCCTCAAGTGTGACAGCCGCATGACGGATTAAACAAAAGTACCATCCGTTACTTGTACATTTTCTGATCCGGCCATGTCTGGCAGCGGAATAAGCTTGTAAGTTTTCAATTCAAAATATTACAGTAATATTAAAAAAGATAAAATTACATCTGTTTAAATCATATAGATTGTAAATCTCATGCAACTAAGATTTGTACTAAGGACCCTCTGGTGAAATTAAAAAGCTCCTCCACTTGTGCTTCACAGCCCCCACCCCCAAAAAATATTACTCCAATTTTATTGAAACCAATAGGCCTACTATTTTGCTCAATTATTTGATAGCTAAGGCAATTACAATGGCCCAATTAAGCTAGGATCTACAAAGCTACTGAAAATAGCTACTGTGCTTCTCTCTCAAACCATTCACTGTTTGAAGAGGAAGTTTTTCTCCAGCAGTCAGTGAGAAAGGAGGGAGAATCACAGAACTAGAATCAATAGTCTCAACCCAAAGCTGTTTCCTGCCCTTTTGTCCTTTGACTGGTACCTTTACCTCCTTCCACTTAGAAGTCAAGGTTCCTGTGTACCACTCGATCTGTAGGGACTTGTCTTCATGTACACTGCGAATGCAGCCAACTTGAGGCCAGTGTGTCGAGTACTCTGGGAGATATGTTGCCACCATGTCTCTCTCCCTAACTTCTGTCCTCTGTTCCTTTACTTTGGGTCCTATGTGAACCTAACAAAAAGAAAAAGAAAGTAAAATAAATAAAATAAGAAAGTGAATTGAAAACGAATAGTGTAGTGCCACTACATACATTATCAGTGATTCAAGACAATTCCTTATGTACACTTTATTTACAACATATAAACATATTATTATAGTAATTCTTTCTGAAACCTAATAAATAATTTTCTTTTATAAAATCAGAAAATATTGTTGAAACTTCTACTATTTTTGTATTTTTTGATTTTCAATTAACCCTAAAAGGGCTGTACGTTCACCGGGATATGTTTAAGGATATTTTTTTTTTGTGCCGGGAGCTTTCATGACTTTATAGCATAGAGTCTTGCGCATCTTTTGATGCCAAATATAAAAAGTTTTGACCATCGGGTAACGTGCAAATTGACGATTTTCCCATTGTCTGTGTATTGTAGCAATTCAATGCAGAAATGCAGATGTGCGATACCTACGATTACGTAAATGCAGATAACTACAATTTTTTGAGGTGCTCACATTGATGTTTAAGAAAAAAAAAAAAACAAGAAACAACAAAAACAACAAAAATTTGGGAAGACTTTTGCAACTAATGCACAAGCGTATAGCAATCACTAGTACCCAAAGCTAATCTTTACCTGACATGACCTGACCCCAAAATACTCGGCATGACTTGTAATTACTGTAATGACTGGAATTATGCAAGGGCTTACATGTATATATATTAGGGGCTAGATCTTGTGTGAAGACTATACAGAGTGTAAATTCTGTTAGGGAATAATGTTGCACTCAAGATGCAATTAAGCTGAGTGTGTTAGTCATGCAGCATTGTAGATGATTTACATTTTTTTTTTTTAGAAAGCAACTCAAGTTGTAAATAACGATTAAAATACATTTAATACTAAATATGGTTCACAATATCTTTGTCTTAATTAAGGGACATATTAATGAAACATGTACCTGTCTGAATGTTTCATCCTCTGTGTTGCAAGCATGCTCCTCAAGCTGTGGTCTGTCAGTTGGTTGTTTGGCCATTATCAGTAGATCGCATATAGGCCATCTCACTGTTGAATCTTCTGTTAAAACACACAAAGGAAATGTATTATAGCCCTGATGTAAGAAACAGTGTGCTAAAATATCAAAGTTTATGATCAGCCAGCTAGATAGGTTGTTATTACCTTCATCCAGTTATATAAACATATAGTGGCAAATTCTTGGAATAATAATCGTTTTATCTAATGATACTATGACCTAATCTCTTGAAAGGTCATATATATATTTTTTTAAAACCCTATATAGCCCGGGCTATGCAGTGTCAAAGGGGGGGGGGTGCTAATTTAGCCCCCCCCCCCCCCCCCCGAGATCTCGCCCCTCAACTGCCTGATCGTGATGAAATCGTCACCTGCAACATAATCTCCAAAATCGTATATTAATCTCTCTGAAAAATATTTTGTTTAATCGATTATGCTAATTATGCTAATTTAAGCATGAAATTAGACCTTTTTTGCTCTAAATCACTCAAAACAGCTCGAAATGTGCTGTTCTTTTGATCTAGACACTCTATGTATTATTCTTAACAAGCGTACTTTAAAAAAAAATCCAGTATCAAAATTAAGTTATGTATTTCATTGTTTTTTTAATTTCTCTGTTTTTCGACCTTTTCATTTTTATTGTTTTTTCAATGAAATTTGTTGGCAACACTTATGCGATCATAACTAGCATAAACGAAATAGATTTCAATCTGTGAAAGCAGATATAATAATACATTTAAAAATATTAGCTAATACACAATTTGTATTGAAATTCTACAAGAAACCACGTTTTTGAGCTATTTTGGGTCCGATGTGCAAGTACATGTACAAAATTATGTGTAGCATAGGAACTGCATGCCCGGGCGTTGTTGCGCGAGATGTGAAGGAAAAAAGTCATGAAATTTCAGCGCAGAATGTCTTCGCTTTAAATAGTTATTGTGAAAAATGTTTTAAGGGGGGGCCAAATTAGTCCCCCTTCCCCCCCCCCACCCCCCCCACCCCCCCCCCCCCCCCCCTCATCCAGGCTATAGGGTTAAATCTCGAAAAATAGCAATACCATAATATCTATCTCTAAAAAAAAAAAATTTTAAAGAATGAGTGGAGAAAAACTCAAAAATATCCTCTCAGGTTTATCTATGCTGCTGACTCAGCTGCTCCCTTGTGAGAGGCAATCAAATATCATAAATTGGCGCGTAATTTGCTGGCTCTCTGTAAAACAGCCATTCCTCTTTTTTCTATAGACCACCATCCATTTGATTTGTAGTCAATGGTTATATGCATTAGATAAACCAATATTTTTGTGTCCCACTAGCCTAGTTCGCTATTAAGATTTTTTTGTGAATTGTGCCATGAAGGGGTGTAACAGTCAAGACTTCAATACAAATTGTCAAAGTTTTGGGCCATAAAGCTTGAAGATGCTACATTGTATTTTTCAATGTTTCATAGGTGATGGAAAAAAATACCATAACACCATCAATTTTGGAAGTTTAAAAAATGACAGAAATGATACCTTCATTCTCCTCCTCTTCCAAGGTGAGTAGCTCATAGAGGGACCTCCATGCCTCAATGTCTACTTCTTCCAAGTATGGCTGGAGCTTGTCTGGTAGATGTATGATATTGATGTCCGCAAATGACTTCTCTACCAATGTTGGTTGTCCGTCTGGATGTGATGACAGGATGTGGTTGATGCCAGTGGTGTCTCTCCAATGTGGTGTAGTTGACCAGTCTTTTGTTTGTAGGGTGGCTTTTCCTTGGTGCAGTGCGAATTTGAATATGTGTGGTTTACTGTGATAGCACATGCTGTGTTGATGGGGAAGAAGCCATTTGCGAACATCAAAGAGGTGTAAGATGCGCTCCGCTGTTGTAGGGCAGTGAGCTTTGTGGAAAGCGGCGGGAATAGCTTGCAGAAGTTTTGGAAAAGATGGGGTGCTCCTTTTCTTCAAGTGAGTTGCAATCCTTGAAAAGAACTGGTCGATGTCCTCATGTGTGTGACCGACCATCAAGAAGCCAACTTTGATCTAAATGCAAACAATAAACGTTATAAGGTGAACAACAGTATGGAATAAATTGAATTTTAGGGACATTCCTCAATGATACAACCCAATAAGCATGAGGGATAATTTATTCAATTGAAATTTTTCTTCATTTATCAGAACATTTATCTAACAAAAAACATATTTATCAAAGCTTGTTTTTGTTTACGCTTTACAAATCATATGTACACTGATGACAAAGATGACAACTTTATATTGCCCATGGTTTCTAATGTGCACTACCTCTTTCCCGTTCATAGGGTTCAATCTTTCCGAGAATAATAGGCTACGACCAACAACAAAAAACCCAAAACACTATTTACCATTGGTATACATGTATCTGTGTAAAGTAAATAATTCTAAGTCACAATATCTTTTTTTAACCCTATGATGCCTACACATATCAGACATTTTGGGCAGTAAATGTATTTGATAGATTAAAACAGAGGATCAACTGAAGATATGCAACAATACAATAGTGCAAAATCCCCCATCATAAAAAGTGAGTCAGAAATAATGATTCACCTTGGAAATTTGCCATGGTGAAAATAATTTGTAATCATGAATATTTTCTCTTTTTTTTCACACTCTTTCTGCATCGTTGTTCTCTCCTGCTCACACTACAACTTCGAGAGAGTGGGTTTGACCCACTTTCAAACGCTGTTTCATGAATAGATGCCCAACAGCAATGGTACTGCATGCAGCGGGAAAGTGTACTCTACCAGTACATGTCAAACATTTTTATATTTACATATCCCTTCACAAAATATCATGTACTTTTAAACCCAAGGTTTTGGTGCAATTGGGTTTTTACCAAGTTACTTTAATTTACTGTCAACTGTGAATAGTTTTCTGACAAAAGTGAATATTTATAATGTTTATTCTCAAACAATGGGCAATTTCCGAGGTATATCATTATTTCTGACTCGTCCTTTACATGATTCTGAAAAGAACCTCCAAGACAAAGGCATTCTCTTATCCATCCAATACAAGTTCAAATAAACAAAATTTCCTTTTCATTTTGCGATTAAATAAAGCATCATTACAGACTGAATACTTATATTGACAATTAATTACTAAAAAGAACATGTATTAAACATTACCTTCTTGAAGATATTGAGTTCAAGGAGCAGGGACAGAAAAGAAAAGAGATGTCGATTCTTATTCTCCCTAGAAGTGTTGTCCAGCTGTAGGTAGAGGACTGGTGGAAGAGAGTCGGCATAACGGACCAGGATGTTGAGCAGGATATTAATGGTTAGGTTGCTGTCATGTGGGTACTCGTTAAAATCGATGTAGGCGTGTTGACCTCTTCCATGAACAAGTGCACCGGTGATGTGAGTGTGCAGTTGATCATTGTAGCTCAGAGCTTTAGGTGTTGGATGGAGTTGCGGTATTGATGTGCAGTGCTGATCCATCCCATCGATGATTACACTCATGTATTTCTCTGGCTGTGACTTCGCTTTGCGGATGTGTTTGTAATATTTTTGTCTCTCACTGCTGCTGAAAAGAAGGTAAAGAGCAATGAGGAGTCATGCTATGCTTAGAAGTTTTGATCACAAAACCAATACTAATGCCTTAAATACACGAGTAAATTGTAATTTGAATGTGTTATCTGAGACTTGGCTAGGTTTACGTCTATATCAATGATACTTAATTGTGACCAATATACTTTTTTAAAGTAATGAACTTGTGCCTACATTTCTTCTCCTGTTTTCCCTACTATTGTATTTTTCTTCTACTATAGGCTTTTCACGTCAAATATCCACTGATTAGAACCAAACATCCGTATAGGCAGTTCAAATGCCAATATTTTATTGTGGTCACCTATTCAAATATATTAACATTGTTGTTGTTTTTTTCCATTAAGAATTTCATTACTCTCTTATTGCTAATATTTGTTGTCCAATTTTTTAATTTGTTCTGTTATTTTTCTCCAATTTTGCCGCTTCTATTTAAAGCAACTTATCTTGGAGCCTGAGTATTCCTCTAAGCTTTCTCGGTTTTTGTCTCCTTCAAAATCTTTGTTGAAATATTCACTTCTATGAGGAAAGCATATAATGACATAGCTCTAGTTGTATATTGTAGCTACATGTAAAATACATCCATGGTTGTCATTTGTTGCACTTAAAATACTGGATCACAGATCACCTCATTCTAAATGCTTAAAAGAAAAAAAGTACATCAAAATCAATTACAACATTAACTTCAAGCTTTAATCAAAGTTTGCTGTACCTTTGTTTCTCTACATGTTTTTGATGTTGTGCAATCAATTGTCTTCGAACATCTTTGTCGTTTGTCTTGCCAAGCTTCATTTTCAGCTCTGTGCACACATCGCACTTAGAGAAGCGGTTCACCTATAAAGAAAAAAAGAAAATATCAAAGAGAAGGATTGTTAATTACAAAATTAATGTTATGGATGTGTTTTCTTGATGCATATAAATGTAGATGTTATAAGACTAATATAATAATATATTGACACAAAGATACAAGAGGCCTCAGGAATTTAACAGATTTCGTCTGGCTAAGAATCATAAATTCATCTATGTCTAACCCTAACTGTACCGGGGGTATAATTTGCATAAATTAGCATTATTGATAAAATAAGCAAATTTCCGCGAAACTAATGGCAAAATCTCTGCATAATTTTGTGGCGATTGGCCCATTTGGAGTGCATTAAAACTGCAATATGTTTTGTACAAAAAAACTGACCTGAAATCATGATGGGTCATATGACACTATAAAAGAATTGTCTGTTTTTGCAAAAACTTACGGTAGTGTAGTGTCAAAATAAAAAGTAATGAAGTGGCATTGCTGAAAACATGGCGGTTTTGATTATGGTATGCAACAACCTATGTTTAGAGCTTTTGAGCGTCCCGCCCCACTCACTCCCATCCAGTACAGTTTAGGGTCAATGGAATTTACAATACCTTGGGGATTGTGATGTGCTGCTCTTCCTTTCTCCAAATCCTTTTGAAGTGAGTCTCAGAACAAACCTCAGCATTATCTTGTCGTATTCTTCTATACACCTCTCGCTTTGTGAACCCATGTGGAAGGTTTACAGACTCTCTGTCAGGCATTCGGTCTCCATAGGAACGAGCAAATGCATTAAGTTCTGTCTTCGCGTTTAGGGTTTTGTTAATCTTGTGTCCTTTCCTCAAGCAGTTAGCAGGCAATGGGTATAGCAGTCCATCTATTCACAACAAATTAAATGCATGCATGGAAATAACTAGAAATATCGAAAATGGCTGATCACCACAAAACTCGGCATGCGCCTCAGATATTGCGCAAAGGAAGAGACCTTACCTATATTTTTGGCTGAAAATTGCTTACTTTGTCATTTATGCAAATTCTATTCATGAATATGTTTTTTATTATGAATTACATAAATAAATAATAATAATACCAGTCTCTTATAAAGCGCTTTACGAGTTAAGACCAAAGCGCTCACAGCATATTATTGCCCCAGTCATTGGATTCAATTACAAAAAAAAACAGCATTTACAGTGCACAATCTCCTCTCCCTGGGGAGCATTCCAGCTGGTCACCTATTAGGCGCACACAATGCCAATTCAACTGCATTGCGTTCGCATCCTACAGGGTACCCATTTTAACACCTGGGTAAGGTGAAGCAATGTAGACAAAGTGCCTTGCTCAAGGAACATAAATGCTGTGCTGCTTTTACAGAGTTTATTTTTTGGCAAAAAGTTTCTTAAAAGCCTATTTGACATTATCATATAATTGAATTGTCCATATACTTGTTTTTATAATAATAATAATATAATAACGGCCATTTGTACTGCGCCATGTCTGTCAGATTTGACACTGGGCGCCCCATTATGAATTTCTAATGTATTTTACTGTTTTTCAATTCTTATGTATTTTATTGTTTTAGGACTTCTTATACTTAAGATCATTATCTGGATCAATTTACAGTTTGAGTAAATGATAAATCTAGTCTAAAGAATGAAACATTACTGATTCATAGACCCAAACAAGAAACTTCACTTTGCCATTTGTTTGGTAGACAAGATGACAAAAATTTCAATTTTCGGCTTGACCTTTGGTCACAAAAGGTCAGGTAACTCTCTAGCATTCGCATCCTACTGATTTCCAAAAACAGCAAATAGCGGTTACAGCACAATCCCCGAAAATGCAGGGGTGGGCTGATGCCCCCCACCCCCCAGTACAGTAAGTGTTAAAGCTACATAAGAGTAATAACTTATAACTGTATATAGTTCTGTTACAGAACTATATACAGTTATAAGTTATTACTCATTATAACAATATAATATGTTGTGCACTGAATGAGTAATATTTACCCCAAAAAAGAGCCTCATGCACAGATAGACACACACCCAGACATACACTCACACACTCAGACACACATACAATCTTACCTATCCCCCACCCCCTTTCCTACCCAAAGCTTTCTAAACCTTGAGCCTCTTTGGCGATAAGATATCTCTATCGGCAACTAGAGCCTTTACTCTGTCAATACTTCTTCAGGGGCAGCAGCAACTATTGCATCACATCCATCTTTGGTGAGGCAATCTGACAATAGTTCCACCTTTTGTTTGATGGTCTTCTGCTTAAGATACAAGAGCCCTTCAGTAAACATTTGGCATCTGAGCTTGGCGTTGAACTTCTCTCCCTGAGTGTCGAGATTTTGTACTGGTTGTTTGCATTGTGGTTAGGCCTATAGATGCCCTGTTCACAATAAAGAAGCTTCTGTAACATTTAGAATGGTCATTCGCACTACCACTTTCTTGTTCCAGTTAGACTTCTGTAGTTACATCTAGTTCATAGAAATCTTTTTCATTTGATCAAAAACATTTTGGGCCTCTTTTTAACTGGCCCTAGGGGCCACATGCAGCAGAGGGGCTCCGGCAGACGTCCACAGTCGGATATACTAGGTTCCTCCTCGAATGTTCCAATACTCAGATATTGGTACCTTGTTCGTTCGTTCAAAGTGCACTAGGTTGCCAGGCTATTACATTTTTATAAAATAAATCTACACCGTTTACCATGGTATATCCCCCCCCCCCAGTGTTATTTAGGGTACGCATATGACTGTGCGTTCCCAGCACCCCCCCCCCCCCTTCTCAGCATAAGTCTGGTATGTAAAGTCAATACGGGTAGATCTTTTTCTTTTGTAATTATGAGCCTTTTCAGCACCCCCCCCCCCCCCCCCCTCTTTTCAGCATAAGTCTGGTTTGTAAAGTCAATACGGGCAGATCTTTTTCTTTGCTACGAGCCAGAGATTTTGGGAACATGCATGAATGAGGCATTGCTGTCTCCTTGTAAAGAGGTGTTTTTTAATACCAAGGTTTTATGGAAGGAGGGAGTAAGTACCAGCCCATTTCAAATAGTTATTCATGTGTCTGATAGAAAGAAAGTGAATACAAATCAGAGATAATATGAAATACATGACTGTATGGCTTTAATCTTGGTCAATTAATTTTGGTCTCATTTTTTATACAAAAGATGTTGATAATGTGTTATGATCGACATTGCTATATTGTTGTAATATTTTATGTACCTGCCACCGAAGTTGGTGCCACTGGCAATATGTTTCCAAACAAGACTTGAAACCGAGATGCAGAATAAGCCAACCATTCACTCAGGTCATCAATAATTATATCTTCGTTTAATGACAGATAAGTCTGATAGAATACCTTCTGTAAGAAAATCTGAATATATTGACTGGCAACATCATCTCATATAAATGTAAGGTTTTTTTGTTTGTTGTTGGTTTTTTTTTTTACCTACGGTATTATTTTTTTTGAGATAAAGGATATGTATTTGAAACAGCTCCAAATCAATTCTTGGTAGTTCATATGTTATGGTTTGATGATCAAATATTTATTTTTAATTAAAAAAACAACCTGTAAACCATATGCATTTGAATTTGAATTTGAATTATTGATATGTACCCCAGGATTGACCTTCGGATCATCCCTTTCGTCCTGATTTTAATTTAATAATTTTTTATTTGAAAAGTGAATAATAATGTTACATCGCACATGCCCTTATGTTGGAAAGAAAATGAGTCCTATATTAGAACCAGCAGGAAATTTGTATGCATGGCCAGACCAACCAGAAAAGGAAACAGTAGATGAAGATGTTATGTGAGAAAATTAATCTGGACAGATGTCAGTTGGAATATGAGTAATAAGATTTTGATTGACACAATCTATTATTTGTTCCAAACCTATAATGCTCCAAATGTATGATTTTAATAGAAATATGTCAAGATTCGTTTTAATATGCATGTATGTGTAACATCCATGATCTGATAACCATGTTGTGCAATGCAATTTATTAAAAATTATTAAAATATGATTGATACTTAAAAAGCACTTTCTCTGTTCTTCATTCGACTACATTTCTATTACTTCTATCTTTATCATTTTTGAATACTTTACATGTTTAGTGTGTTTGTTATCACTTACCTTGTATTTGTGCAATCAGTAATTGGTCATTACAGTTTGAACATCATAGATGATGTCGATCAAAATTCGTGCATGAAGCAATTCTAGTAAAAATACCAACATATTTTAATCCAAACAAGTGTATGTAAAAAGACTATCAGAGAGAAAAAAAGAGACAGAGACAGAAGAGAGATGCATATTCGATTTACTTCGTATTTAGTTATGAACGAAAGATGTGGGCTTACATGGATCTGACTGAGAATAAATAGTCTGCAGTTGGCATTTTGTAGGATGGTAAATTTGGAGCCGATATGAACAGGCATATGGATAGCGAGAAAAATAACAATATAGCTATATATGGAAGATCGCAAAATCACGTGTAGTTTGATCAGTCGATGAGATATGTAGGATGAATGAATTTTCCATAACAGAATAAACAGAAATGGGACTTAATAAAAGATTTAGTGTCGTATGCTGAAGTGGCTTGTGGGAGGGGTAGGGGGACAGGTTAAGTCGAGGTGAGGGTCGTGCCCCTTGGTCCTCTCCCTCTCCTCTCCTCCCCTCGAATCCACCACTCGCATTCTATTTTGACGACGTACTGCAATACAAGTTACAAATTGCGACATAGATACATGCCAGTAATATGTCAGGAGAAAAATAGTTTCTATGCAGGAAACACTGTGTGCATAATAAATTGTCAAATGTCGCACTATGAATATATTGAATTGAATCATTGTCAAATTGAATTGACGTACGCCATGTTGATATAAAGCAAGCTATACAAAAGGTCTCACTGCCAAGGTGATCAATCTTACTTTCAACAACTGTGCGATTGACCCTTCTTATTGATAGTATGATAAAGAAAAATTATGCAATTTTGCAAGAATAACAAGTGAGAAAAGGGTTTTTCCACAGAGCCATAGATCTAATATCGTATAACATAATTTAAGTATGTTTTTTAATAGCAAAAATCTTTTGGTTAATTTACATGACCGTTAAATATTTTCAGACATTTTATGATAAATATATATTCTCTTCATATATATCTTGAACATGACGATATTTTCTCTGTTTTATCAGTGTGCAGGAGGTTTTCAAGTTCGGCGATATGTGCAGAAAGTATCCTAGAAGAAATTTGAGGCAGATTAGTTTCATCGTGTTTTTTGTTAATAAGACACTGCTATTGCGCAATTTATTATCTTATTGTTCATGTTCAAGAATAGCTGTTGATCAACTCAGTCGTGTAGGGGGTCTGCAGAAGAGCGATACTTCTTTGAATACTGCCGATATCAACAGTTTTAGGAAAATGGTCCGTGCATGAGAGAGAGAGAGAGAGAGAGAGAGAGAGAGAGAGAGAGAGAGAGAAAGAGATGGGGGAAGAGGAAAGGGGGAAAGAGAAACACTAAGTGCAAATTCTGTCAATTTACATATACATTTACACATAGCTCGCAGTCATAAAAACATAACCATGGGATCAAAGGGCCATGATGTATTGACTGGGATTCTCGTGCAAGAAACAATTTTGCCGAAAGCCGAATGTATAAAAAGGGAAAAAGGGGGTAAAAAGAAAAGAAAGACAAGGAATTTCAAATGACGATTCTCGTTGGGTTACATTACTTCAAAGTGGAAGAGGAAATCGCTTGTTCGCAAATTCAAAACACCTCTCCGGATAAAAAACAAAAACAAACAAACAAACACAGTCACACCCACTAATGGTCTTTTCATAAGAGTCAAACAGGCATGTAATGTTATAACTGTATTCACGTCAACAATCCTTGAGAACTGTCTGTAATTGGTATATAAACATGACTTCATTTCGAGTTTCTTTCTTTTGTCAGCCTCAAGTTCCACAGAATGAGAGAGAGAGATAGACACAGAGAGAGAGAGAGAGACAGAGAGAGAGAGAGAGAGAGAGAGAGAGAGAGAGGAAACAAACACTACTTTCGTTCGTGGACATGAATAACCCCTGAAGAAGAGGTACACACGCCATCACTTTGTAATCAGAG